TGAGTGTCCATTTCATCAGAAGGACACGCTTTTAGAATTGAATCTCAAGACTGTGTTGAATCTCAAACTATTCCTACCTCCTGAACTGGTTTGTCAATTTCACAATCTTATCAGCTGGTTAAAATGATATATTTTAAACTACAAGAGTCTCCTAGTATGACAATATCCATGTTAACTGTTAATTTATCAGTTTCTTTACCCATAATGCTATCAGAGCCTCTAGTTTATGGCTTCTTAGCTAGGGCTGCTGTGATGAAGCACCACGATTAAAACAACTGGAGAAGGCAAGTGTTCAGCTGACAAATCCTGAATCACAGCCCAGTTAGGAAGGCCAAGGCAAGAACTCAAAACAGGCTGAAACCTGGAGGCAGGAGCTGATGCAGAGGCCATGGAGGGGAGCTGCTTACTGCCTCGTTTCTCATGGCTTGCTCAGCCTGCTTTCTTACAGAACTCAAGACCACCAGTTCAGGGCTGGCCAACCCACACTGGAGTGGGCCCACCCACATCAACCACTAACTTCGAAAAACTGTCCTACAGGTCTACAGACGACCCAATCTTATGGAGGCATTTTCTCAATTGAGGTTCTCTGCTCTCAGATTACCCTAGCTTGTGTCGAGTTGACATAAAACTAGCCAGTACAATAGCGTAGTTTGGCCAACTAAATAAATCCATTTCCCTTACTAATCTCTATGTCCTAAACTCTTTTAAAAGATGGAAATTAAGGAGGCAGGTTATGGAGCCAGGTTCTTATTACATGAATAAATAGAGCAATAAACCTATGTGAAATCTCTTGAGTTTTCTTCTGGGAAAAATAAGGTCTTTAGAAAAGTGGATTGACCTATGGATTAGGGTCAAAGTCATACCATGCCCTTGACCTCTTAGGCCTGCTAGTAATTAAAAGTTAAATTAGGCACTTAGAACTTTGTATAGAAAACAACTGGGGGAAGGGGAATTCTGGGAGGGTGCTACTATTTTTACTCTGGGAGGCTTAAGGGATTCAGAGAGACTGAGAACTCTGAAATAGAGTTTGCGGCTCTCAGATCAACTTCTAGCATTTAGGCCAACTTGTTCAAATTTTATTTCTGTGTTCCCAGTCCAGCTCTTAACTGTTAGCATCTATATACGAAGGTGAAGGAGACCCTCTTGTAGTCTCCAACAGTCTTTGCAGCATTACAGATGAGGACATGGGACTAGCAAAGGCAAAGCTCACACCAGAGAGCAGAGACTGACCACTCATGTGCCCTGAAAGTTGTCTACAGTGTTTAGCCCCCAGCAGTCCAGTGATAAGAGGAAGCCATTGTGGAGCCCCATGGCATAAATGGCTATTGAGGTGTGTGGAAGGAGTTGGCAGGGGCATTAGCCATGCAAGTGGCAAAGATGCTCACTATCTGTGAAATAATAGTTCTACTCTCTCGGGTCCTCCCTCCATCTAATAGTTGTGTTGTTTTCCAAGTGGGACAGCTGGTTCACCTCCTTGTCAGTCTGGGAAATGCTTAAATCAAGCCCCTTGTTTCATTCTTTGTTCTACTGTGCAGTACAGGCTCTTGCCTTGCCGCCCAGGCTGACCTTGGACTCCCAGAACTCCCACGTCAGCCTCCCAAGTATTGGGATTCTAGTTATGAGCCCACATTGAAGGCATCCCTCCTCATCCCCCACCGAAGAACCAAGCGCCTGGTGAGCATTGTCCCCTGTGCTGAGCTTTCTCCGGGCTTCTTTGGTTTGAACAAGCCCATCTTTGTTTTCTTGACCTTCCTTCTCTTTATGGAAGGACAAGGGGAAGAGGTCATTTTACCGCTTGCAGCTCAGTGAGTTCACAGAGGAACATGGGGGCAAGGTAGGGTGAGAATCTCAAAGATTATTTTTTAAATTTGAAGGGATAGATGATTGAGTCCCGGTCATTCTTCCAGAAACAGGGAGAAGGAGCTCGTCTTTAGTGATACCCCCCAAGAACTGGGAACAGTGGCCACGGGTACACACAACTTTCTGTATGCATGGCAAGTTACGTATGAGACAAGGGAAAGGCTTTTAGTGTAAGTGTGTGAGTGTGTGTGTGTGTATATACACACACAAACACACAGAGGAAATGTCCCTAGGCTGGCTTCAAACTCACTACATAGCATTGTGTGACCTTGAGTTCCTAATCCTCTTGTCTCTACTTTCCAAATTCTGGGATTGCAGGCATGTGCCATCACCCCCTAAGAATCCAGGGCTGAGTCTCCAGTGTGTTACCTGCCTAATGGTTTATGAGGCGATTTGTACCCTGGCAGAATAAAATGTTCCTCACCAGCTCTTTACGTCAAATTGCTTTCTATTCTAAAAGCGTTCTACAACACTGATTGCGCCTGTCCCACAGTGTGTTTCCTACTAATGGTACTATTATTCGCCCAATAAAGAGCAAATGTCACGATGTACAGTTGCCAGCTTCCAGTCCTTACCATGAGGCTATAGGATGAAGGAAAGAGACGTACAGAAGAAAAAAAATCACATTTAGGGGAGTGGGCACTGTTATCCCCTCTGCCTGTAATATTCCCATCTCTCTTCTCGTGTTTTTCTGAAGTATCATCCCCCTGCCTCCATCATGTGACCCTGACTCACTGCTCTTCATCCTATTGTGTGGGATCTCCCACTAGAGTCTGTCAGAGCCGAATTGTTTTGTTTTCCAGTGTTCACAAAGTGTGCTTGCAAAATGTCAGATGTTTAAAATACTTTCTGGGTGGATGCGCTGTGCAATAAAGAAGAGGTGGCTTCTGAAGCTGCCCGCCAGCCCTTCCCACAGCCTCCGAGCAGATAAGCAGCTTCTACTCTGCAAAACCACACCTCAACTCCTTGGCGAGGCTTGCGTCCCAGGGAAAGGCCGACTGGAGAACAGGCATAGCCAATACTGTGTAAAGCGACCTGTCCTCTGCTTTCCTGGCCTCTGTGGGCCTCTAGGCATGCTTGAGTGGCATGGAAAGACGGTAGGGGTTCAGTGGCAACCATTTATGTGCTGACTGATGGGACACGTAATAGGTGTCTGGTGCAGGGCGGCTGTGCCATCCTACATGGGTGAGCTAACTTCAGTGCAGCGTCTGATCGGTCAGTGTCAACTCCCCTGGTCAGGAATCACACTCACGGCAGGACAACAAAGAGCACCTCCTCCAACATTTTGTTTAAAGCAAAGCCGAGGGTCAGTGTGTGCTTCTGCGGCAGAGAATGACCACGGGGACAAGAAATGATCCCAGGTCCATGCGGGAATCTGTTTCCATGCTGTCCTGAGCGCGTTTTGACCAAAAAATAAATTATTTTAAAAGGGAGGTTTGGATCCATTTCTGCTGATGCAGGGAGGGGGAATAGTTTTAGCTTTCAGTGATCCAATATTAATCATCACAGAAAAGATGTTTTGCCTATAAATCAGGGAGAATAACTGTGAGGGAGTAAGAGACAGAAGAAGTCAACTTTGCTCAGTATTAGCATACGCCAGCAGTACTTGGAGTCAAGAGCAGGTAAAATTTGAGAAACCAGGACCTCCACATTATTGGCTACCTCTGGGCTTCAAAGCCTCCAACCGCTGTCTTCGAAGCGGAAGCTGAATGCCCCTGGGCTACACTGTCTATCCTAGCTCTGCTCCCAAGTTATACTGGCTGGGAATATGGCAACTTGACCTAAGCTAGAATTATCTGAAAGGTGGGAACTCCAACTGAGAAAATGCCTCCATAAAATCTGTCTGTAGAGTGTTATCTTTATTAGTGATTGATAGGAGAGAGTCCAGTCCATTGTGGGTGGGGTCATCCCTGATCAGTGGTCCCAGGTTCTATAAGAAAGTAGACCAGACAAGCCATGAGGATCAAGCCAGTAAACAGCACCTTCCATAGTCTCTGGATCAGCTCCTGCCTCAACTCCTGCCTCCAGGTTCCTGCCCTGTTTGAGTTCCTGTCCTGACTTCCTCCAGCGATGGGCTATGATGTGGAAGTGTAAGCCGAATAAACCCTTTCCTCCCCAGCTTGCTGTGGTCACGGTGTCTCACCACAGCAACAGAAAGCCTAACTAAGGCAGACAGATAGAAAGCTTTCCACCTTCTAAAGCATCTGTGCGGCAGGTGCTCGGAGCTCTGTTGACGAATGGCCTCCTGCCTCCAGCTGCAATTAAGTGAAGCAAAGTCCCAGCTGGAGCTTTGCCACCTGGAGTGCCTCCAGGACCGTACACACCGCCACAGAGGTTCTCAGTCTCCCTAATGCTGCGACCCTGTAATACGGGTCTTCGTGTTGTACATGATGCCCACCATAAAATTATTTTATCTTCATAGTGTTATGAATTGTAATGTAAGTATCTGATATTCGGGATAGCTGATAGGTGATTCCCAAAGGGGCCGCTACCTGCAGGTTGAGAATCACTGTACTAGGGTCTTCTGAGATCTACTTTTGAAGCTGTTTCAGGGGCTGCCACTGGGGTATTTGCGTTTGGAAAGTGATATGCCTGCATGATAACACAGGGGTCCTCAAGGGGGGACAAAAGTTGGTTTCACTACTAAGTGGCTAGGGTTGTAAATTTCTACCTTCTCGGTCCTCTCAGGCTTCAGTTCCTTCAATTGTCGCTTTCTGTGGTCAAGGCTGCCTGAATGCCTGGTTCCCACTTCTGTACTTTAAATAACAGATTCAGTTCAGTTAAAGGCACTTTGAACTCCATTGCTGAGCAAGTCATGAAATACAGCTACCCACCTGGGACATAAAGTACCTGGGCAAGAGGAGGAGTGGACTTCTACCCTCATTCGGAAACTGGTACCTCTCGTTTTTTATCAACAATAGACTTGGCTGGCACTGAAAACAAGCTGAGCCTGAAAACAAAGTAATCCGGGACTTGAGTGGGGCCCCATGGCTCCTTTCAGTAATCTTAGCAGGAGAAGGGCGAAGATGTGAATGCTTGATTGTAGACAGGGCGCCTAAGCCACCAGGAACCTGCTAGTACCAAATGCTGAAAGCCCCGACAGTGACACTGGAGACAAGCTTTTGTAAGGATACTGAGACTCATGTTTAAATTTTTTTTTATTTATAAATAAGATATGTCCATATGGACTTGAGCCAAATGCAACTTAACAGTTTGGTTTTGTATAAAATGTATCCCTCTTTTCCGGGTGAGGTATCTAGGGTACAAACAGTACAGTACAGTGTCAACTTTTTTATTCTCCTGGCTTCGGGAAGACAATTTCTTGAATAAGCTCAACCTCCTACACAGAAATAAGTGATTAGAAAAGATAAATAGTACATATGAGCGAAGACATATAAATATGAGTTGAACAAGTGACTTCACTTCTTAAAAGCCATTGAAGCTGCTGGCTTTACAGAACCTCCTTCGAACACAGCCAGACAGATTTATAGGTTTTGGCCATTTGAGTTCTCCAGAAACTGAAGCAGGGAGGGGGACAAACAAAACAAAAACAAACAAACAAACAACAACAACAACAAAACCCAAACCACCTCAACAGCGATGTTTATGAAGACTCATGGATAACTTAGAACACTGTACTTTCAAGGTGTTACACCTTTTTAAGATCTGTTGCCTGGTTGCGATTTTGTTGTTGTTACAACTGCAATTAAACAGTGTGCAAAACGTCACCCTCTCTCGTCACTGCCCGAGAAGACCTGTTCCCTCTGGAGAAAAGCGAAACTCCTTAAAAGTAAGCGAACCCAGCCTAGTATCTGGGGAGGAGTTCGGCCTCCGGAAAGGAAGGTTTGCCCTCCATATAGAAAGGTGTCTAGGGTTCTGTTTGCAGGCATCATGGCAACACACAAGTTCAAGTCACCTTCAGACCCCATGCGGTGCTCAGGTAGACAGTGGGTGAGCTGTGTCTACAGGTCTGAGTCGCAGGGCAGCGAATTGTGGCAGGGCCGAGTACTGCGAGAGGAGGAACCGCCTTGGGAGGTGGATGTCTTCTCTTCTCCGTCAAGCACATCCATTGGGTTGGTGTAGGACTTGGGGGGCGGCCGTGGCATCGGGAATCCGACCTTAAGTTTGCTGGTGGTACGTTGCTCGGCGGCAGGAGGGGGCCGATGTTGGCCCTCGCTGTAGTACTTGATGGCTGGTGTGAGCGCGGGCTCCGGCCAGTCCACATAGACGGTGCTGATGCTGCTGCGGCGCGGGCCTGCGGGGGGCGCCTTGCGACAGCGGTGACAGCGCTCTTCGCACCAGGGCGCAAAGCTGAGCGCCAGCGAGAAGCCGCCCAGCAGCAACAAGCAACTGCCTAGGTAGCCCAGCACCAGGCTATAGCTGACCTGCACGGTAACCGGGCTGTCCGGGGCGGGTAGGACGTTGCGGTCCCCCAAGAAGTGGTTGTACCAGGAGACTGGGACGAGACTGAAGAGGCCCGAGACGAAAAGTACGATGCCCGAGAGGCCAGCTAATCCGAAGTGGGGCTCATCTTGCCAGCAGCGCACCCCGAGCGACGCCAGCAGCAGTCCCAGGGCGGTGATGGCCAGTGACGTGACCATGAGTCCCCGAGCCGCCTGCACCAGCTGGGTTTGAAAGTAGCTCAACTCGTCGGGCTGGCCGCACTCGCGCTCCCGGCTGCTCTGTTCGCGACATATGTCCCACAGACCCTGGTACAGCACCACGTCCACTGGCTGGTCCCGAAAGCCCTTCACCAGCCGCCAGCCCGGGGCCAGCGTACTGATGAGATTGAGCAGCAGCCCGCAGGGCGTGAACACCATGCCCAGAATCATCACCACCGGAGTCCGCATCCCTCGAAGCTTCGCGGGTCCCCAGCACCGGTGCTTGCTCCGTAGCGCACCCCGGATCCGGGGTCCCCAAGTCTGCTGCGACGCTGCCTGGCTGGAAAGCAACGATGCTCAGTGCGCTCTCTGGACGCTCTTTGTCTCCCGCGCGGGACCGTCCCCACTGAGCCTCTCGTACCAGGTCCCCTCCTCTCTCTCGTCTCGACCGCTCCGCCCTCTCGCCCAACCGCTGTCCCTAATCGAAACTGGCTCCGGGTCGGGTCACACCGAAACCGCACACCCAGGTGCGGTCCTCGCTGCCAAACCCTACCCGATGGGAGGGGCAGCAGCGGCAGGGCCACCTGGCAAGAGTCGACCTCGGACTCTGAGGACTCGGACACCCCACCCCGGCCCGGCCACTTCGCCCCGCCCTCCCAAATGGCTTAGGGCTCGAGCAAAGGTCGCCCCGCCCTGGCTCCGTGGCGCCGCCCACACTCTTGTGGGCCGGACGAAGGGGGCGGGCCGTTGGTGTAGCCTCACCTGTCGCTTGGCTGTGCACCTTCCTCGCTTCCCAGTTCATCTCTGTTTACCCTATTCCCCACCTCCGACCCCTAGCCGCCGGACTCTGGCTATGAGCCCTGCCGACTTAAGTCTTCCTCCACTCCCAGATGGTGACCAGTGGCCCCTGAAAGTTTTGCGCCGCCACTCGCATCCTCCCAGGATGCACAGGACCGGTGTGCTCCTCAGTTTCCAGGCTCAGGGAGTATCCAAATAGTTGCGCTATGGAAACTTTGCTAGGTTTATTTGATAAAGACTCCAAACTCCGCATGAAGTTCAACTCATAAGAAAGGGAGAGTATTTCTGGATTTAGGACTTTGTAAAAATAAAAATTCAAGTGAATAAGAGGGTTACTCCATGATTGTTCCGTTCAGGACTTAGCAGGCCTATAATGTATTGCAGAAAATTCATAGTTTTGTTTATTCTGAAATGAAGCCTTCAGATAAATACAAAGGGATGGAGTAGGATTGGTTATTGATCAAAGGATGTCAACTAGCTTCTTTTTCACGTAAAAAAGACAAACTCGTAATCAAAGAAATATAATTAGAAGAAGCACTTTATTCTTCTTGATTGATAAAATAAAAGCTTGAAAATCTTCATTGGCAAAGGTAGGAGATAGCTAGTGACTCCTGACGTCATCGATTTAGTGTACAGCCTTTAATAAACCAATTTGACAGAATCTAGGGTTTACAATGCACTGTTTAGGTCTTTCTTGAAGGTTTGTATAATGCACACATAGTTGCACACAATCATGGGTTTCATTATGACATCTCATCCGTGTTTTGCTCATTGAATACCACCTAGGCTGACATTGGCCTTCATCTGAGCTTTTGCTTGCCTGTGTGTGAGTTATCTGCTTTCTCCTTTGCTATTCACACTAAACTGTTTCCCTTCTTAAATACCATCAAGTATTTGGCACATATTTTTCTTTATTTGGACGCGTCATGCTTTTACTTTAAAATGTTCTTGTACATTTTTTCTGTATTCTCTACATTCATTACAAAGGAAATACTTTTTATATAAGTTGTTAAAATAAAACTATTTAGTAAAATCAGCCAATTTAGTGCTGTAGTAACTTTGAACCTTCTACGGTGAACAATCTCAGGGAGGTGAGGCACTACTTCCAGGGTTTCTTTTTAAAAGACATATTTTTAATTAAAATTTTAAAAATATACTTTTAAACAATGCATAAGTGTGTTTATGTCACTGTGTGGTGTGTTTATATGTGCACACAAGAGGGGAGACGGTGACACTGAATCCCCAGAACTGTAGCTCCAGGTGGTTGTGAGCCACTAGAAGTGGGTGCTAGGAACCAAAACCTTACCCTATGCAAGAGCAGTATTAGCTCTTAGTCGCTTAGCCATCCCCATACTGTAAAAAATTAAATCGTGACTAAGGGAGCTGCCCTAGTTTATTTTCTGTTGGTGCGATAAAACACCAACCCAAACCAATTTGGGAAGGGAATGTCATATATATGGCTTGTTCATATGTTCTTCCAGAGACATCACCTCCCATTGTTGAGGTCAATCAGGGCAGGACCTGGAACCTGGAACCTGGAGGCGGGAACTGAAGCAGAGGTCGTGGAGGGCCAGCTTGACACTCAGTCTTGAGCTGTTTGCTTTCTTACACAACCCAGGATCACTTGCCAGGGGTGGCTGGGCCCTCCCACATCAGTCGCTGATCAAGAAACGACCCCACTGATTGGCCCGCAGGCCAACCTGATGGAAGCAATTCCTTAAAGGAGGCTCCCTCTGCTGGTTTGTTGGTGGAAACCAGAAACAAGTTGGCAGAAAACAGTCAGCACATGGACCTGCTATAAAATTTCCTGGTTTCCGCCTTTATAACAGCACAGGTCTGCAGCGTGAAGCACACTCCCATTGCTCAACTTTTGACGCCACCCTGCTCCAGAATGGCTTCAAACTGAAACTGTGGCAAGTGCCGTCCTTCACCCCTGCAACCCCGGCCAACCACCATTCTACTCCACCTCCACTAGATACTTCACGTAAATGGAGGACAGCTCTGCTTACGGCTAGCCTATTTCGCTAAGCAGAACGTCCTCAAGGTTCATGGACGTTGCAGCTGGATACACTGAACACGTGACCACTCCACGGCATGGCTAAAGGGTAGGGTTTTTTGCTGTAGCTACGAGAGAGAGAGAACAGACAGAGGCGTCTGGATGAGTCCAGAGCGGGCGGAGAAAGTTGTAGGCTGAACATGGGCCAGCAGAACAGGACTGAGCACAAGAGAAGCCGCATAGCGTGGGAGTGGGTGGGGGAGACAGAGAGAGTGAGCAAAAGAAAAGAGAGAGAGCCGAAACAGCGGGATTAAAAGGAGAATGAGTAACTGCAGGGAGGGAAGCCATGAGCTGGAGAAGTTTAGGGCCAGGGAGGAGGTGAGAAGAGCTAGGATGCTTTAAAGGACTCTGACATTTGGAAGAAGTATTTGTGACGCTGAGGGCGCCTGCAGGCCATCTTGCCCTTTTGTGTGCTAATAGGAAAATGGCTCCTTTTGGTAAAGGGACCAACTTCACAATTTCCAGAGGAATGCCCGCTTTTGGGTAACAGCCAGAATTTGGGGAAATGGAGTTACCTTTGGACCCAACAGTAACGTGTGTTACAATTTTCTTCTTTTCTCTAAGTGGAAGTGTTTCCTACGGTGTTTGTGCCGTTTGTGTTTAGCCTTCATCTCTCAGTAGCTGCTGGGTGAGTTCAACCTTTTAGCTCTCACGCACTGTGCCATGCAGATGAGTGTCTTGATGTCTTTTTGAGCCCCAACTTTTAATTCTTCTGAGTTATGGCCCCAAATAGAATTGCAGCATCATATGGGAAATATGCATCCTCTTACTTTCCTCCCTCAGCCGTGGGACTTCTGATTGCTCCGACCTTTATTTTTAATATAGTTCAGTTATTATCTGTGTGTGCGCATGATGTATATAAGGACGCACTTGCCACAGTGGGTATGTGGGGGTCAGAGGACAACTCTGGGGAGTCTGTTCTCTTTCCTCCCTTATGTGGATTCTGGGATTGAGCCCAGGTCATCGGACTTGTGAAGCAGGCGCCTTTGACTGCTGGACCATCTTGCCGGGTCACTTTATTTGGTTTAAACAGATCTTTAGAGAATCCTGTTTTTTCATCTTTCAAAGGTACTTTTGAGTTAAAGTACCTCTGAAAGTTTTTGCTTTGATGCAAAGAACTGAGACGGATATGTTGGTGTTTTCCATTGGAGTGTTTACAGGCATTTTCAAAAAGGATGGAGGCCTTTCCCCAACTGAAGCTCCTTCCTCTCTGATGACTCAAGCTTGTGTCAAACTGACACACAAAACCAGTCAGTACAATGGGTAAGAAACAGTGTGTGCTTAGTCAGACAGAATGTATAATGCGCGTCACTTTAAAAATGAAATCACTTTTTGTGGCTGAACAGAAACCAAACCATGCTGTCAAACTTAAGGCCAATAAACAGATACAAATGCATACTAATTTCTTTTAATGTCTCCATGAGATCCAGCTGTAAGGCATTTTCTTAATTAGTGATCAATGGGGGGAGGGTCTAGCCCATGGTGGCTGGTGCCATCCCTGGACTGTTGGTTCTGGGTTCTAGAATAAGGTGGGCTGAGCAAGCCATGGGAAGCAAGCCAGTAAACAGCACCCCTCCATGGCCTCTGCATCAGCTCCTGCCTCCAGGTTCCTGCCTTGTCTGAGTTCCTGTCCTGACTTTCTTTGATGGTGAACAGCAAAATGGAAGTGTAAGCCAAATAAACCCTTTCCTCCCCAACTTGCTTTATGGTCATGGTGTTTTGTCCCAGCAACAGAAACCCTAATTAAGACACTCCCCAAACCCCACACATCATCCAACTCTTGAGACAACGGATTCTCTGAAGTAGAAGGGCTGGAGTCCTCAGCAGGGCCAGATCCCTAGCTCAGTGGTAGAATGATAGAGTCTAGCATGCCCAAAGCCCCGAATCTGATCAGCATTACTACAAAAATAAATAAATAAGTAAATAGATAAATAAATAAATTGAAATGTTTGTTAGGATTATGTTGGCCTTCCCTGTCACCTGCAGGATGAGCCCAGAAAGTAGCCTGTCCCTTTAAGAGACAAACTCTGCCCACTCCCAAAAAAATCTCTTCCTACTGAGGCAAACACGTCTCCCCCCACCACAAACCCCCAAGGAACTAGCTCTTGTAGGTCAGGCTGGCCTCAAACTCCGAACTCTACCTGCCTCTGCCTTCTGAGTTCTGGGATTAAAGGCATGCCCACCACTGTCCAGCATCATTTTTCTTTGTAGCTGCCCCTGAGGTTGAGTTAGAAGGATCTGATGCTCCTTCTCCCTCTTTTCTCCACTCCCCCCTCCCTCTCTCTCTCTCTTGCTCCCTTCCTCCCCCCTTATAATAAAACTTCGCACTCACTCTCCGTCTGCATGGCCTATTTGTCTGTCCCTTACCTGCCCCAGTTTGGACCTCATCCACAGGGCATGGAACCTGCAGAGGTCCCAATTCACGCCCTAGATCTTTCAATGGTGAGACAGCGGACGATTGCCTGAAAAGGACCAAGTCCTGGGATGAGTTCCCACAACTGTAACTACCCAGGTTAGGTTGCTGCTGTTTGTCACTTTTTCTGTTTATGCTATGACGATTTGGCTAAAGAGGAAATACTTTCTTGGCTCACGATAACTTACTGTTTCCCCAGCTCTGGTGAGGCAGTGCATGACAGGAAAGGATGTAGCAGAGGGAAGACACTGTGATAAGGAGGGACATTGGGGACAAAAATCTATCCTACAAAGCCATGCCTCCAGGGATG